ATCCTATCATACATTGTACATGCATGTGGATACACTTATAGAAAGTGCATTAATTCCAACACTCCTTCTTAATGTGCTTTCGTCTTCAGCTCCAAGATTCTTCGAATTTGCAGTCTTCTTCTTCTTCTGGAATATGACTAGCAAGAACGAATACTCTTCGTTTTCTTCGGAGTAATTTTCTTGGTGTTTTGTTTTTTTTTTTTTATTTTTTTTTTGGATCGACAATACTTCTCCAAATGTCCAAACATTTTTTTTTTTGCATTGGGGTTTGCCGTTGTGGTTGCCATCCTTCTCCAAGTGTTTTGACTTGCAAATACTACATGGGGGATTAGTTTTACTTCACAACTCCTCATGGAAGTTTATTTGCTCTTTCTACTCAGTCTTTGCTGAATTTTTTTCCGCCAAAGATGGGAAGAGGTTGTTGAGGGATTTATGGAACTTGCCATTGAAATCTCCTTCTTTGATTCACTGAGGGATTCTGGAACTTGCCATGAAATCTCCTTGATTTTCGGGCACGCATACGCAGCGGAAAACAAAAGTTTTGTGCGAATTAAACGACTTTAAAACACACAAGTACATGCCCGATGAATTAAAACAATTAATTGCGTACCTTTGCGCTTCCAGCGAAATTTAAAAACAATATACATGCTAATAAATCAACCGGGCTCTGATACCATGTTGGATATATTGCGGAAATATATGAACAAGATTAACAAGGAAATAATCGAGGAGTACGTATCTCCTACATATTTTACTCTTGCTAATACATGTTGAATTACAAATACAATCTTACACCTATTTATACTAATCTAGGCATAAGTAGTACATGCATCATATTAAATATATTCATCATGAATCCTAGATATACATGTATCTAAGTATTCATGTATTTGCCTATTCATGTATCCTATCATACATTGTACATGCATGTAGATACACTTATAGAAAGTGCATTAATTCCAACAGATGTTTCAATAGTTAATTACTAATACAAAAAGAGGTCTTAATTAAGAGCTAGTTAATAGTAATTACTAATTAGTACTGATTTTACTAATCAGGCAGCTAATCAAAAAAGGTCTTCATCTTCAAATTATCAAGCTCCACTCGCATCAACCAACGCGTCAATTTGATCGTCATCTTCCAATCCCAACTGCAAATTTTATCGCACATTGTCAAAAAAATAAAAAATAAAAACAACGTAAAGGCATTAAACGAAAGGATCAAGAGCGTTGGTTGAAGAAAATAATATATATACCTGGTTTGGAGTTTTGTCATGGTAGAAAGTTCGATTATCAATCACGAAACGAGTGGAACGATATTCGATCGAAGCATGCTGGCAAAAGCCACCGAGAGCTTCTTTATTCTCACGTTCCGTTTTACCTTCACGTAAATCTCTTTCCCATCCTACACGAATATTATAAATGTTACATAAATATATAATATATGTGATCGAGGAAATACAAAACATTTGATAACTATACGTACACTAAAAACGAAACAAAACAAGTCGAAGTACATAATTTGAATGCATGTAATGTATTGGCAGCTCGTTGACTGGATTATATATCGAATGCGATAATCGAATCAAGTTAATTAATTGCAGTATATATAGTCGATAATTATCCCGTCTAACGAATTTTCGAATAGTGTATTATTTACCATTTTAAATTATATTAATTTGTATTTTCATAGTCTGTGTATATCAAAAAGAATAATACATACATATATGTATATTAATTGAGTCTCTATATATAACTGTCATTTGATAACAAATACAACAACACTAGCAAATAAATCAACCATATATTTAAACCAAGCTTGTGTGGCATTCATGCATGCAGCACTTTCTTTTATTTTATTTTTTTTCATTTATTTATTTATTTTTAATTTCATTTGAAAGAAACTACTAATTAAGTAACAAATAATTAAGAATTTATATTTCATTCATCCACATTTCTGATGCATGCTAGAGAGAGAGAGAGAGAGAGAGAAAGAGAGAGAGAGAGAGCTAGAGAGACCTTATTGCACTTGATAATTAAATTAACAAGCAGCTGTTTAACCGGCTCTTCTTTGTTGCTTCCATTTTCTGCCATTGATAGAGCTTTATTTATTTTACCACAGGATATATACATATATATATATATATATATATATATATATATATATATAGAGAGAGAGAGAGAGAGAAAATTTATGTTCTGTTTGTCCTACAAATTACAGAATCTTTCTGTGAATGATTTTTCTTTTCTCTTGAGATCTTTGCAGTGTAACATCATTTCAGTTGTCACAAAAACAATAATTAATTACTACAGTCGCTATTTTTCAGGACTGTGTTGTAATATAATGATTACTTTTGTTCTAACTCAGGAGAAAAGTGTTAATTAGCCGTGTGTAGCTGATATATATATATATATATATATATATATATATATATATATATATAGTAGACTTGCCGTATAGCTATGATTATTGTCACATTTATCCCATATATCTCGAGTTTTGTGCAAAAAGTACCCCTGTGTTATCTTGAAATAGCAAAAACCCCCCTGTGATAAATAAACTAGCAAAAACCACCCTTTTGAAATTTTATAAATAGCACACATGACCCATTACATATTTATGCTTTGACCCGACCTACAAAGACTAAAATGCCCTCGAGTAAAAAGCAGAGACATTTATTTGAGTTTTAACATGTTTAATTCTATCTGTTTCACAAAGAAAAAAAAAAGAAGAAAAAGAAGTGTATGTATTCCTATCCATCCGAAAGAAAACCCTAAATAATTTCACCAAAACCCCCAAAATCCCTAACAAAATATTTATTCTCGCTCGATTAAAAAAGAAGGTGAAATCGTTAATGTGATTTCTCACAAAAACGAAGCCATTAACATCTTTTCTTTTCTTTAGGTGAGTTGCACTTTATTTTTGCCTTTTTGAAAGCCATTAACAGCTATATGTGTGTATATATATATATATATATATATATATATATATATATATATATATATATATATATATATATATATACACAGCGAATGAGTATGCGAATTTTGGGCTGTGGTCCTGCTTTTGGGCATTTATGAGAAGAAAAATTGTAACTTTTTTTGACTTCTTAGGATTTTAAGTGGGTTTTCGACTTCGTGTAATTTTAGGTGGGGTTGATTTTTCCGTATTTCTAACATTTTGTAGGGTAGCAAATTATAGTTTTTTTTTTGTCTGTAGCTTTTTTCTGTATCGAATTGGCAAGAAACTAATGAGAATGAACGAAGAAGACGATGATAAAAATAAGAGGGTTTTTTCAGATTTACAATTTAATAAATCTGTGAGGGCAATTCTGTCATTTTATGTCTTAAAAACAACTAACAGCCGCAGGTCCGGCGAGTGTGCAACACGAAAATACCCTAGGGGGGTTTATGCCTTTGACAAAATTTCATAGGGGGGTTTTTGCTAATTTATTTATCACAGGGGGGTTTTTGCTATTTCAAGATAACACAGGGGTACTTTTTGCACAAAACTCCATATATCTCACTTCGCCCCCCAAAATTATAGGTTGCTTCTCAAACACACCCCAAAATTATGAAAATGTACCAAATACTTCCTCAAATTATATACGTTTAAATGTGCCGACGTTTGTTGTTAACTTTCTTGTTACCAGCCGTTATTATAGCATTTGTCTTTTTTGTGACTTACACATTTGTTGGCTATATATATATTGTGTTAATGTTGAAAGCTTAAATGTGCTTCATTACCTTCAAGTTTCTTTTTGTTCTTTTTCTTATTGAAATTAGTTCTTTTTTGCTCATTTTTTCTTCTCAATTAATAAGAAGTCTGAGCTCAACTTCATATGGCATTCTAAACCAAATCGAATTACTAATTGAATACCTAATTTCTTCAATTAAATTAAGTTTCTCAAAATAGAATATCAAATTAGGGTAAACATCTCCCCAATGTTAGTCACCGTGTGCTTAATGAGATGCTACACCTGTTGAAATACACCATATGGTGTTAAATCGTAAATCTACATAAATAACTATCAACTAAACACATATACACATCAGTGATTGTGTATTATTATGTGTAAATCAATAGTATAAAACTACAATGTATATTGCACCACATGTATGTTTTACAAAACTAAAACATAAAGCTGAAGTTTACATGGAAGAAGAAGATTGAAGAAAGGCGGAGAAATTTTACAACAAATAAGGGGGAGCTTGAGTTTACCCTAGCCATATGAGTGGACTCGCCACTAAATAGTCTCTCCTACAATTTACAAAAAAATGAAGTATTTTTAAAAAACTAAGAGGATGTTTGGATAAGCTTATAAGATGTTAAAAAGATCATTTTAATATGTTTTAGAGCTTATAAGCTCTTCCAAAATGTTTGGTAAATTTAAAAAAAAAAAAATCTTAATTTTTTTTCAAACAAAATTGTTGGAGAGCAAATAATATTTTTCTATTAAAGTAACTCTACCCCACATTTTTTAAGATCTTATAATGAGTGAAAATAGGAAATAAGTTCATTATCCAAACTCTCTGAAAATCAATCCTAAAAACAAGATGTAACAGCTTATCAGCTCTTAAAACATCTTATTAGACGTAAGAGTTTATCATCTGTTTAAAATAAGCTTAGCCAAACACACCCTCTAAATGTTAACTGAGACAATCTAGTTGGAGTTCGAATCATGCATCTCTAATACTTCTCCAATTCATAATGTAGCTTGAATTTTTCAAAAAAGAAATTAAAAAAATGAAAAAAAAAAAACACAAGTGAATAACAAATACATATATTAAAAAGAATTTGAAGATGCATTTGCAACTATATAATATTTTGATTTAAAAAAAAATTAAACACCAAATATATTGAGTACATGAAATTCGAGCCACATATTACAAATTCAAAAATCTGATAATTAATATAGTGAGTACATGAAATTCGAGCCACATAATACGTTTGCAATTCCATAGTTTAATTTCATAAATGAATAAAATGTATAAATAAATAAACTGGATGCATCACACATTTAATTTGAAGCTCTGCCACCTCCATTTTGATGCACCATTGCATCTATTTGATCTCCATCCTCCATCCCAAGCTATTATATTAAATAAACAAATCATAGTTAGTATAATAATAAAATATAATGAAGTAGGGAAAATTGTTATTTCTGTTAAGTCCTGTAAGTTATCGTATTTCAATTTCACATGCAACAACTTTGCAAATTTAGCATTTTTGGTCCTCTTTTGAAAACTATAATCTCGTAGTCTAACTTAGGTTTTGCTAGATTTTTTTATCGTGCGAGATGATAAGTATATAAACCAAGTTATAGAACTATTTATAATTAATTATTCATATAACTAAATTACGATGAGGTTGTTAGCCGCATAATTTATCAAATAGTAGAATTAAAAGTTGAAGCAAATTAAAATAGGACCGAAAATGCTAAACTTCCAAAGTTATTGTCCGTAAAATTGAAATAGGACAATTTAGAGGACCAAAATTACAATTTCCGCTACCGCGATACTCAACGGTAGATTCAAGCAATCTTTATATGATCTACATTGTCGATCAATCGAAACCATTATTGCGATTACGCTAACAACAGGCCGATTAATCGGATTACACTAACAACGGGCAAGCTAATTAATACGATTACACTAACGACGGGCTAATTAATACGATTACACTAATTAACGACGGGGCCAATAAATCGGATAACATTACCTCGTTAGCGGTCTTTGAAGTTTTGATTCGTTCGCCATTGTACAGAAACACTACGGTTGCGAAGTTTAAGTTCTTCCCCTTGCAATATGCCGACAACAAGAATTGTATTTTTCGATCCCGCGGGAGTCGGTAGTATATTCGGTCGCCATCCTAATATTTAAACAACCGGTGAACATAAATAATCAGGCCAGATATTATATACTGTTTAGTTACTAATATTGAGTAAATAGAATAGGATTTAAAAAATAAAATAAAATAAACACCAAGTGTATCTATTAATATCACTTATTACTTATTAGCCACTACCATTATAATTTTCTATAATCATTAATATAAATTGTCAGCATATATTTTATCTACATATATAATTACTATGTTCATGAATTAGAATTTCAAAAAAAAAAAACAGAGAGAAAATTTTCACATGAGTATATATATGTGTGTGTGTGTATGTGAGAGAGAGATATATATACAGGTAGACTCTAGTCCAAATAAAATGAAAATACACACAATTATATATATACATAACACATGCCCAGAAACAAAGAAATTAAATCATCAGTTCTTCACAGAGAGAGAGAGAGAGAGAGAGAGAGAGAGAGAGAGAGAGAGAGAGAGAGGGAAGGGAGAGATACAGATATGGAGAGAGAGAGAGAGAGAGAGAGAGAGAGAGAGAGAGAGAGAGAGAGAGAGAGAGAGAGAGAGAGAGAGAGAGAGAGAGAGAGAGAGAGAGAGAGAGAGAGAGAGAGAGAGAGAGAGAGAGAGAGAGAGAGAGAGAGAAACCTGGGATTTGATGGAGAGTGTAACCTTAGGAAGAACTGGTTCCTCCACCTGCGGCCTGTTATTCATCTCACGGGGTGGTGTTTCATTGCTTCTCTCCGCCATTTTTCTTCAAACCTACTGTGTGTGTGTGTGTGTGTGTGTGTGTGTTTTGACAGAAGAATATGACACTAAAACCAAATAGTCTTATGATAATATATAATTTTGTCTTAAAATCACTACACCGTTCAATTCTGTCGTTTAGTCCTTCAATTAGGGCATCCTATTTATTTGTATATCTCATTAAATTATATTTTCAAATCCTAATTTTTCTTGCATACATATATACATATAATTGGTAATTAGCAATAAATACAATTTGCTGGCAGGAGACCCTAATTAAATACTTACACTAATTTGTACAAAAGGTCATATCTTCTTCCTTTTAGTGTCTCATAAATTGAATTAATTATTTTTAGATTTTTTATATATTTCTTGTATAGTTAATCTCATGATTAGACTACTAATGAGGAAAAGAAAATCATAATTCACTAATTTATTTTAAATTAATTACTTCAACACCACTAATAGAGGAGCCAGAATTTTATTTTCGAGCCGAATAATGTACTAGAAGTTCTAAGAGGGCCCGATTGTACAATTGTGTACGGAAAAATAATAAATATCTATATACATATATTTTGACGATAGTCGATAGTTTCGTAAACGACAAACATATGTACTAAAATTATCAAAATTCGATCTATAGTTTTAGAATGTTAATTAATTGAATTACGTAACGAGTTGGAGCATAAGAAATATTATTAAGTTTTCGATTACATGGGTCGGATTAATTTGGAATGTATCGTGACGATTTTTTTCATTGACTAACTAATTAATATTAGATCTATTACTAAAACTGTTAAAGTTATGGGATTAAATATGATTTCTCAGTAACATCGTTAAATTAACAATAATAATATCCTAATTCATTTCAATTTTGGGATAAAATCGATCTTTCCTGTTTTTTAGTGGATCGCTACAAAATTAATCGAAGGAGTTATACGAGCGTAAACGAATGGAGTCGAACTCAACCTATAATGGTTCTTTTGAAACATTATCTATATTGTAAATTAAGTTGTGTTTGAGGTTTGATTTAATAAATAAATCCAAAAATAATATTATTACAGTCTTAAAAATGAGTAGAATCAAATGGTAAGATTTTAGTGAAAATGACAACTCAGTCAAACAAAGAATATTGGATAACTTAAGGCATTCAACCTAATCAAATCAGAGGACTCCTAATAGAATTTTTTAGTCAAATGTTATTTAAGAATTTGGTCCTGTAAAATAAATGATTTTTATATATATTAATTAAAAAAGATATATATATATATATATATATAAACTCAATAAATAATCTAAAAGTATATATTTTGGTGACATATTTGTTACAGTCAAAATTTGTCGACAAGTTTATAGTTTTTTGATTGTTTTTGCGGATTAAAGACACAAAAACGGTAGAACAGTTCAATTTAAGAAAAAATCACAAATCTAGAGAAGCGAACAATTCAATTTAAGAAAAATTCACAAATCCTGAGAAGCGAACGTTTCAATTTAAGAAAAATTCACAAATCCAGAGAAGCGAACAGTTCAATATAAGAAAGATTCACAAATCCAGAAAAGTGAGTGTTTGCTGTAAACACTAGTCCGAGTCACAAAATTATGATAAACTCGTGCTTTGACAATTAATAATGCGATATTCTGGCAAAATAAAGGTTTGAAAGAAAAAAATAGGGTTGGTGCCAGATTTTAATTAACAAATAAAATGTCTTACGTTTGATTCTAAGTAAATTTATCATTTTAGTGAAAAGAACTTACCCTAAGTAAATTTATCATTTTAGTGAAAATGAAACGTTTTTTTTTTTTTGATAATTGAAAATGAAACGTTTTGTAAATTAAGGACTTTATTATTTTTATATATAATGAAAATATCATAGAATTGAACTCGTCATTTACTCAATTTTCCCCCAAAATTCAGAGAAATCCCAAACCCCCATTTTCTCTCTCTAAATTTTCCGATGGCTCTGACCAGAGAACAGTACCTGTACATGGCGAAGCTAGCCGAGCATGGACAGTCTAGTCGTCGGCTCGGCCGGCGCCGAGCTCTCGATCGAGGAGCGCAACCTCCTCTCCGTGGCTTACAAGAACGTCATCGGCTCCCTCCGAGCCGCCTGGCGCATCGTCAGCTCCATCGAGCAGAAGGAGGAGGGGCGTAAGAACGACGACCACGTGGCGCTCGTCAAGGACTACAGATCTAAGGTCGAGACCGAACTCACGCAGCTCTGCGCCAGAATTTTGAAGCTCATCGGCGACTATCTGATTCCGTCCGCCGTCTCCGGCGAGTCCAAGGTTTTCTATTTGAAGATGAAGGGCGATTATCACAGGTATCTCGCCGAGTTTAAGGTTACCGGTGAGCGCAAGGAGGCTGCCGAGGAAACTATGCTCGCTTACAAAGCCGCTCAGGTACAGCAATTTATTTATTGTATTTTTTAATTTTTTTTTGTAAGGGGCATAGTTGAAAATTTGATTTAGACTGCATTCAATACGTATACATATTGTCGATTTGTGTTCCGATTGCTGTTATAACTTGTAATCACTGACTAACTTGTTTCTGAAGAAATTCCACTGTGAACATTTAAGAAAGTGAGGTTAGTGCCGAATGTGTGAATTTCGGAAGAGTCGTAACGGAAATTAAATTTCAATTGAACGAATGGTTATTTCTGTAAATACGGAATAGCGTATTGGATTCTATTGAGAAATTGAAGATTATGGTACCGTACTTGACATTTAAATCCCCCTTCCAATAATGAATCAGTACAAATAATCGATGTTTCTGTTATTCTCATGTTTAAAACCAGAAATTATAATTTGATGTTCTAGAACGAGGAATTAAACGGCTGATGTTCATTTATATTCTGGATAGACACTTGTTAAGTCAAATAAGGCACACTCGTACGTACGCCTAAACAAAGTATGTGACGTGTTCTGCTATTCATTTTTTAGAAATAAAATTTGGAAACTGCTTGATTGTATATTTATGCGATCAATTTTGAACAGGATATCGCACTTGTTGAGCTTGCTCCGACACATCCTATATGATTGGGCTTGGCGCTGAATTTCTCAGTTTATTATTACGAAATTCTAAATGCATCGGAAAAAGCTTGCAGCATGGCCAAACAGGTTAGTTAGTTTTGCTGTAATAGACTTGAATAAGTTTTTGCTTTCACTTTCGCGCAAATGCAATCTGTTTCTTCCGTTTCACCTTCAAACTCTTCTGTGCCTTCTCTCTTCTATTTGTTCTGTCCAATTTAAACTTTTTTTTGCTTGAGTAATAGAACTTAAAGTAAGAGAATACTACAAAAGCGAGCATCGGAATTCGGAAACTTGACTGAGAAATTATGTTTCTGACTTTTTTTTCCACATTTTACAGATAACTTTAATATTTATAAAGATAGATTTAGTCGTGTTTTTTTTTTTTTTTTTTTTTTTTTTTTTTTTTTTTTTGTGCAACAAAAGCAAGTAGTTAATCTCTATTCGCTTGTTTTCCTGAAATTTACAAGTTACATGATTCATGCAAAGTTATCTGCAAACATGAAACGCATTCTATTGGCTTGCAATATGTTCAAAAAAAAAAGAGAATGAAATTACCACCACGCTTGACCCGATACATCAACTAGACTGTTTCCTCGATAAATCTCAACCAACGTGCAAGAGAATTGATCAACCTTAGCTTTCACTCTGTTACTAATGTGGCAGATACAAACAAATACCAATTTTGTTAACCTTATCCATCGCACGAACCACCATCTCTTACTGCTTTCCGTGATGTCTACGCATGTAATTCCTACATGTTTATAAATTTGAACCTCGATAAAGTTATTAAAGGGTAACATTATTTCGCCTTTGCATGTCATGCATGTTTGTTTAATCTATTGGAAATTCCTCTTATTAGACATTCGAATTGTTTTATCGTGTTATGCAGGCTTTTGAGGAAGCTATTGCTGAGCTGGACACTTTGGGCGAAGAGTCGTACAAGGATAGCACTCTTATCATGCAACTTCTGAGAGACAATCTCACTCTTTGGACCTCTGATATGCAGGTAGGCAATAATATATATAGATATTGAGACTATTCTTTCACTGAACAAAGAAACGTGAACCCCCGTTTTTCTCGTAGGTAGAAGTATTTGCACATAGAAAATATGGGTATCAGAGAAGATTTAGTTAAATTTGTCTCTTTAATTGTTTGTGGCCTTTATAAACCCTCATTAACTTTCTGAAATGCATGCTCACGACTCACGAGTAGCCGAGTAGGGAAAATCAGGTCGAGTGCATTTATATATTATTTTCTTGCTTTAATTAGGCGTACTCATTCTCTTACCCTTCTAGTGTTTATATAACAAATATGGATTTATTTCATATTTTATTCATATATTTTCTATAACAACGGGTGAATCTTTACTTCCTTCATGGGTTTGTCTCCTTGGTGTGAAAAAACAACTGATCTAAAAATACAAGAGTTAGGGTTTGTGATTTCATTAAATTAGGATGAATATTGTGGAGAACTAGGAGAAGTCGATTTGACCTTCTTCCTCTCCTAGACGAAAAATAAGCCCAATAAAGTAGAATCCGCAAATTTTGGGGAAAAAATAAAAATAAAAAATGTTGAAATTGTCCCCAATTTGCACAATTGTATGTTTTTGTTGGCACTTTGTAATTAATTGTTAAGAATCTGATAGTCAAGTTTAAGAATTAAATCCGAAAGCTGAACTCGAATCAATCAATTTAGTTATAATATATATTGGCGGTTCATGTTAATGCAGGACCAGATAGACGAAGCTTGAGCCTCGGGCTTTTCTCTGCTACTAGAGGAGGTGGGCTTGAAATGTCATTAATCTGTTCTGGTAATTTGCATATAATATAGGACTGGAGACGGTTTTAATATTTTGTACCTGTGTTATTGCGACACTTGTTTAATCGAGACTATTGGAAGCACAATGTGGATTGTTTCAGAATTCGCCTTTCAGTTTTTTCAGCTGCTGCTTGTAGATTAATTGTAGTGACAAAGGGTAAATTTCATCGGCTTTTTCAGTCTTGGGTTTTAACTGTCTGTGAAATAGCGATTTCTAATCCCTCTCTTTTATTGTGGTGGACAAATTCGATTCGATCTACTTTTCGTTTGGGATGTGACGATGGGTTCTTTTTTATTTGCTTTTACTTCTTTTGGAAGTACTTATGAGTTTGTTTGCTTGAATTCTTGTAGTTTTACGGCAAAAATGATGAGCCGGTAT